TGTTTGGCTTCTCAAGCAGTTGATTAACGAAGTTGATAATATTACTTATCGTTTGAAAAAAGTAACGCCAATGTTAAAATTAACACCTCAACAAGAATCCGCTCACGAGCAAGCAGAAATTTGTCATATTTGTGAAAAAGCTTTTGACGATGACAAAAAAGTACATGACCATTGTCATTTGACTGGACAGTATCGTGGATCGGCTCATAATCAGTGTAATTTAAAATTTCATGCTCCAGATTTTATTCCGGTTATTCTTCACAATTTTCGAGGATATTATAGCCATATTATAGTAGAAGCTTTTGGTGATTCTGATATAAAATCTCGTCTAAAACTCGATAACATCATCAAATGCATCCCAAATAATTTTGAGAAGTACATGTCAGTTACGCTGGGTAAATTGCGTTTTATTGACAGCCTGCAGTTTATGGCAGCCTCGTTAGATGAGCTAGTGAAAGGTTGTAGTAAATTTGATAACCTAAGAGACTGTTTTGGAGATAAATTTAATCTACTAGCTAAAAAAGGAGTTTTTCCATACGAATACCTCGACGACTGGAGTAAATTTGATGAAATATCTTTACCTGACAAAGACAAATTTTACTCACAACTTAAAAATGAAAATATAACTGATGATGAGTACAGGTATGCACAAGGTATCTGGAAAGAGATTGATTGTGAGACTTTTGTTGATTATCATGATTTATACCTGAAAACTGGCGTGTTATTATTAGCAGATGTTTCTGAAAGTTTTCGTGAAGTGAGTTATAATAATTATGGACTAGATCCTTGCTGGTATTATTCTACCCCTGGGTTGTCATGGGATGCTTTGCTAAAGTTTAGTAAGGTAAGGTTAGAGTTACTGACTGATGTTGATATGTTCAATTTTACCGAAAAAGGTATCCGATGTGGTATTAGCGTGATAACAAAAAATATGCTGAAGCAAACAACAAATACCTGAAACAGTATAACCCTGACCTTCCTTCGAAGTATATAATTTATCTAGATTGTAATAATCTTTACGGTGGTTCGATGGCAGAACCAATGCCTTTTAGCGGATTTCATTGGATCACGGTTGATCGATTTCTATCAGAGACAGAAAAAAAGATACCCGATGATGTTTCCTATTTCGTTGAAGTTGATCTTGATTATCCAAATTTGCTACACAAATTACATAATGATTACCCTTTCTGTGCGGAATCGATGGTCATAGATTATAGTTTGTTATCAAAAGAACAACAAGCGTTAGCATCACCAAGGCAACATTCCATGGTCAAGAAACTAGTACCAAATGTACTTGATAAGAAAAATTAAAGTTTTAAAACAAGCAGTCGGTGCTGGTCTTGTGTTGAGAAAAGTTCATCGTGTACTAAAATTTAATCAGTCGCCGTGGATGAGAGGTTATATTAACTCAAACACTTCAAGAAGGGCTGCAGCAAAAACAGAGTTTGAGAAAAACTTTTTTAAACTGATGAACAATTCCGTTTTTGGTAAGACGATGGAGAATATTAGGAAACGCGTAAATATTGAAATAGTTAATGATGTCAATCGCAGAAACAAACTTGTGTCAGACGATGATTTTGTGAGCATGAAAATAGTTAATGAAAATCTTGTTGCGATACAAAGAAGAAAAGTAAATCTAAAACTAAACAAGCCGATCTATGTTGGAGCTGCAGTGTTAGATTTAACAAAGTGGCTGATGTACGATTTTCATTAAAAATCAGTGGCCGGCTAGTAAATTATTGTTTACTGATACTGATTCGCTCGTATATGAAATCGAATGTGAGGACATCTATCAGGACATGTACAATAATCGACATCTGTTTGATCTTTCCGATTATCCACGTGACAGTAAATTTCATGACGACACAAATAAAAAGGTTATTGGTAAGTTTAAAGATGAAATGAACTCAAGCGCTATTAAATACTTTATCGGATTACGTAGTAAAATGTATGCCGTATTATTGGACAATAATAAAATAACGAAAAAAGCAAAAGGTCTGCCTCGTAATTTTGTTAAAATGTTTATGAAATTTGATGACTACAGGTATGCGCTTGATGGCGGTGTTAGTTTTATGAGAGCTATGGCAATTCGAACTAATCATCATAAACTCGAAACAGATGTCATTATCAAACGTGGATTGTATAATTTTGATGACAAACGCTATTGTAAAAATGGGGTAGATACATTTGCCCTTGGGTATTGTCATGATGATAGATCTATACTCAACATTATCTTTTCCAACTGAAATTTTATCTAAACTTATAAAATAATGTTTGAAAATTTGACAATGACAAATAGCTACAATAGTAACATCAAATATCTAATGATGTCGATAAACAATTGACAGTTGAATTTAATAATGAAACATCAGGTATATGTTTTAATGGAACACGTGACAAGTTAAAACTTTCGCTCATCAGATCTGATAACAGCGTGTATTTCAATTATCTCGAACAATTGTATCAAAAGTTGCTAGCGGAATTTAAAATTTTTCACAGCCCCATTAGCCAACAAAACTATACTAAACTCACAATTGATCTCGATCGGTCAAAGGTATATTTTATCAACAAAAAATATCCTCTGAACAAACCAGAAATGAAAGATTTGTTTTAGTCCCATCGCTGTGTGAGCGGTAAAGTAAAATTTAGTATCTATAGTCGTGATAGTGAAGTATTTTTAATATCAACAGTTGAAACATTAATCATTGGTAATGAGATATAAAATAATATCGTTTTCATTCTAATGCTAGTTTAATTTCCGCCTTGTTAACTGAAACGTTCTAATGCACAGTTTAATTTTCATCCTGTTATCTGATAAAAAATTTGTGGTAAAACCTATTTGCCGTCTTTAGAATAATCATTTCCACACATACGCTGTTCTAACAAATTCGTCACTTCTGATGACAGAGCTTATCGCATTCCAACACCTGTTGTTTTGTCTGGTTACAAAATACCTGTCTACGTAGTAGTAGTATAGGGAAATGAGGGTTTGGCGGGGGTGGGGGAGGAGGTGTGGGAGGGTGGTGGTGAGCCAAAACTCTCATTTCCCTATACTACTCTATATGGCCATAATTCCACAGTTTGTAACTTCTGAGAGAGCCATCTCTGAGAAATGTAACCCTTTTTTCATATTTACTTTTAATTTCCGCTTTTAGCAATATGAATGAAGCCTGATGAGAATACTATGTTAATGGTGTGCAGTGTCAGCAAAGACAATTAAGGCGTCCGCACAAAACATATGCAAATAATAATAATAATAATAATAATAATAATAATAATAATAATAATAATAATAATAATAATAATAATAATAATAATAATAATAATAATAATAATAATAATAATAATAACTTGTGTGATCTGTCGTAAATAACTCATAAAAAGGGTAACATTCCCTTTCCCGGTTTCACACACACACACACACATGCGCTCGCGAATTTAATAATGGTATATTTTTCCACTTTAATATAATGCTCTATAACTCTCTGTAGCAAACTGATACATAGGTATTATATTTGACTGCATAGCTTCAGACAACGACATGATTTGGAAACATTTTTTCCTTCGTTCGTATGACAATATTTCATGATAGTAGCTTATGATGTTATTCACGTGGCTAGGTCAAACAGTACGAACAGTGGGTTTGCTGGGCAGTAAAGATGAACCACTGCTAGCTTTTACTTTTACCATGTAGCTAGGTCAATCCGTATAAAACGATCGGAGGGTCATTTAGAACTTAGTTAAGCTAAATCAGTACGAAACGGCGTGTTTTGAGGAACTCTTAATTCCAACGATTTGGTGCGCATAAGTGTTGCATTAATGTTTACCTTTATTATTTTGAAAGACTTTTCAAGTGATGTTTCTCTGTGCAGTATTCTCGCAGTAGAATATTTATATAGTTCACTAGTCATGACAAGGTCAAAATAAGAGTGGTTTTCTGAATATCATCAAGTCATTAGCTCAAAAACAAACTATTATGCACTGATTGTAAAATGATACTTTCCTAAATGACTGGAGGTCTAATCTTACGTCACAACGTTGTGAACTTTGAATCATTGCCAATCTTTGTCTGTCTTCATGTTTACAAATAAAACTTGCAATCTCTTACTCAATTTTCTTGTTTCATTTCATAGTATGTTTGTGTGATTCTATAGCAGTGTATCTTTAAATACTCTTAACTTTGATTTCGTTTTTGCTAAGACTATATTATGTTTGTCTTACACTGTGTCTTTTTCATCTTCCTCAGTTTACGTGCCACCCTTCCTTTCTATGATAATTTATTTGCATGTATGTAAGAACAGAATGTGTCTACAAACACTCCTGCTCTTTTTGTTGGATATTAGAAATGTGTGTTTGACTTAGAACAAAACTATAACTGCTGGATAGTGGCGTGTGGGATATGATTGTAATTAAAAATCGGTTGATGTGGTGTGTTTGGATTGTAATTAAACAAATGGTAAACTAATTTTACATTTCCCGTGCTGGTTGAACATTCTTTTAACATAAAAAGAGTCTATCATGATCGATAAAATAATCTTTAGTTTCCCGTTTGGTTCTATAAATGTTTTTGCTACAATACCATTCTCAAGTAAAACCCACTGACAATTTTAGCAGTATTTCCTGTTTCGCTCTAAAATGTCCCAAAAGCTATGATTATGGACTTGCGTTAATTTCATTTTAGCTCTAAAGAGCCCTTGCAACTAATGAGAATGTTCGTGATTAAAGCAACCTATTTGTGGTTACATTCAGGTGAATCGTAAGGACGAATGGTCTTTATTCCACGATTTCTGTTCGTTTTTGTTTTACGAGATCAGCACGATTTGTTTGCTTGGCTGAGCGTTTCTTAAATTCAAGATATTTGTAACAATAAAACAGATTTATTTTTATCAGCGGAAATTTCTAAATTTTCGTCTTAGCCTTTAACTGACTAATGCAAGCTGTGCCATGTTCTTTGCTTGTCTCTTTATTTGTGTTTTGTTCCATATTTAATTGATGGTCAAATACTCCTGTGGCCTAGTGGTTAGAGCGTTCGTCTCAAATGCGAGAGGTTGCGGGTTCGAACCCCAGCCAAGTTATACCAAAAAAAAAAAAAAATAGTGCTAACAGCTGACTTTGTAGGCGTTCGTTATTAAGAAGTTAGTGCTAGGACTGTTTGGCCTGTGACATTCGTGGGACATCGTGCTACATGTTTGCAGTGCTATGCCTTAGTGCTAGACATCACTATAAACTGCCACACTATAGACATCGTAGCGATATGACTGAAAAAATGTAAAAGATACATTAAAGATACAAATCACACACACACACACACACACACACATTCTTTTTGCGTATATGAGAAGATGTGTACCAGGAAGAGAATCCAATCTTGCCCGATGAATTGGTGTATTTATGACGCAGTTTCGTTGTTTGTTTACAAATATTATTCATAATGTTCAATGTTTGGGCTTACTGAAAACATAACCGTGATGTGCATAATTATAAACAATTGATTAGTGCATTATCAAGAAATAAATTATTGCGGAATTAGGGTTAGAAAGACAGACAAGAAGCCATAAAACACATACATACACACACACATACATACATACATACATACATACATACATGCATGCATGCATGCATGCATGCATGCATGCATGCATGCATACATACATACATACATACATACATACATACATACATACATACATACATACATACATACATACATACATACATACATACATACATACAAGAAAAGCAGGAAGATAAATATGGTTTTATTGATTGATTTATATAAATTTTCAAACGATACAGATTATGAAAAGAAGAAGAGCGAACAATAGAGAATAAAATGGCGCTTGTAATTGCAACAACAACAAAAAAGACAACAGAAATTATGCACTAAAAAGTCTTTATTCATTTCCACTCAGTCAAACTATATATATATTGTATTTACAAAAAATGTTAACCAGTAAATTTCCAAGAATACATTCTTGTCTCTAACCAATCTTTAAAGCCTAAATATATGCTCATCTGCATAGTGGCATAATGGTAGATCAATTTACGATCGTATAGTGACATAATGGTAGATCATATCTGCGATCGCATAGTGACCTAATGGTAGATCTTATCTGCGATCGCATAGTGACCTAATGGTAGATCTGATTTACGATCGCATAGTGACATAATGGTAGATCTGATTTACGATCGCATAGTGACATAATGATAGATCTGATCTGCGATCGCATAGTGACATAATGATAGATCTGATCTGCGATCGCATAGTGACATAATGGTAGATCTGATTTACGATCGCATAGTGACATAATGATAGATCTGATCTGCGATCGCATAGTGACATAATGGTAGATCTGATTTACGATCGCATAGTGACATAATGGTAGATCTTATCTGCGATCGCATAGTGACATAATGATAGATCTGATCTGCGATCACATAGTTACATGACCTGTCTATTTCAATGCGGCAATAAAGTACATATTGTTTGAATGGTAACAAATTCATTTAGCTTCTATAGTTTTAGAATAAATTCTCAGCTTTTTTTGAGGCATGACATAATGAACTCATATGTTGGTTATTTTTAATCTATTCAAGATTTTTGCAAAACTGGTTAAATAACTTGCAACTGTAGCCAAAACGTAGAAGTGTCCTTATTATTTAAAGAATAGACCAGTCCATCACTTGCCATGGAGACCGAAAACAAATCTGTCAAATCTGTCAATCAAAATACTAATCCAGGTAAATTGCTGCTTGAATAATAATAATAATAATAATAATAATATTAATAATAATAATAATAATAATAATAATAATAATAATAATAATAATAATAATAATAATAATAATAATAATAATAAAGCAACATCGATGACGACAAGAACAAAAGATTGACCACTTAAGGAATATTTCTCATTTTAACGGTAGCCATATTTAATGATGGATTTTGATCACTTTTAAAACTGAAAGACATTCATTCCGAAATGCCTTGTTTAATTTGGTCAAATTATTTTCGGTGATGTTGGAGAAGAAGTCATATAATTTCTTTGATAACAAGTTCGAAGTTTTTCACAAATCTGAGTGGACATTTTGACAAGAAAATTTACCGTCGACTTTAGTGATATTTTCCTGAATGTTTCATCATACGTCATTAAAATACTCTTTTGCATACATTTTAGTATTAGCTGCCATATGCGAAGAGAGGTCCTTGTCATTTAAAAAGCTTGATAGGTCTGTATACCAGGATGGTTTCTGTTAAATTTTGAAAACTCCAGTTTAGTAATTTTTTTTTAAAAAATGGTGCTTCAAATTTTTCTTACTTAGTTTTACTTTTAATTAACAGAATCCATATTTACCTACTGATCGACATCACTATAACATTTGAAAGACAGTTATGCACCATTGCTTTATGCTAAAGTGGATGAAATTGTTCCAGGGGTTTTTGGTAGAAAGCTGAAAATAGCATTTTTGATTGACGAGAAGTGGACGATGCACGGTCTATAGCATAATCTTGTTCGGACATACGGACAGGTGATCTAACAGTAATAGTTAATACCTACACACAAATAACAGGTTGACTACATACTAATAAAAACAAATTGTCATAGTTGATTCAATCTGCAGCTGACGTGCAGCGGTACACACGATATGATGGCATATCATAGACGGATCTAATCGTTGTTCATAATAGAGGAAGATTCGTTGATATTAGCCTGACGCGATCCTGTTGTTCTTTGATTTATCGTCTTGGTCAAAATACTTTTAAATAAATAACTATGATATAAAACAGCTGAAAGGCTGATGCCAATGCATAGTTTGTCCGAGATATCAATATTCAATTTCGAATATCAACGCACCTTCACCCCATTTTTGTATAAAGCAGACTTGTATTGACATGAAAAGCTGTAATCTTTATATTGTGTCTGTACTCAATAAACACAATAAAACAAAAAAAATTACACACACGCACACACACACACACACATATATATATATATATATATATATATATATATATATATATATATATATATATATATATATTAGCAGACCAATGTCTCGTTCGTGTAGAAAAACATATCAAGCACAATTATGAAAAAGATGCAATATATATACAAACAATACTATCATACAGGTTAGAGAAATTAAATTCGTACTCTACCGAGTTTCGAACCTAGATCCGCGAGTAAATGGCACCCATCGCCTTGCCTGCACGCACCAACCCATATACCGTCACGACTAAGCACGCATCACCAAAAAATGATGGCACTGAATCGGTGTTATATAAGCTCGTGCGTAGCAGACACTCGCATGACGACCTAGTAATTAATTCTCATAAATATACACAGTCGTTCCAGATTCCTATGAAAAAAATCAAGGTATATAGGAATTTTGTATTACAAATAATTATAAATATATACCAGACAGAACAGACTGTGCTATCCCTGGATTCTGTAGTAGAATCTTGATAATAGTGGGCAGAAATAATAGTTTAATACAAACAATACTATCATACAGGTTAGAGAAATTAAATTCGTACTCTATATTGGATCTATACTTAGCTTTCTATTTCTTCAAAACTTTTCAATGTATATAACATTTATAATCCAGGATCCGAATAGGTGAATCCCATGAATCCCAATATTACATTTAAATAAAGAATATACATATACTTATAACTATTTATAGAAACCCATTCTCTAACTGTCATGTATATGATGAACCTTATTTTAAATTACACCTTCCACAAAAGACAAATGCTTTTGCCTCTTTAGTATCCTTTATAGACAAGATTCTCCACAAGTCTATGAGAGAAAACGATGGATACAGTGAAACTAGTATAAGTGGACACTTTTAAATAAAAGAAGATGTTGAAGTAGGAAAAGACTGATAAATCCCTATTCTTAACTTACAATCGTAATTAGCAAGGATATATGCAAGGGTCTTTTATGTACAAGCATCACTACTATGATTCTACTAATGTACAAAATTACTGATAAAGTGAATAGTGTCTTATAGAACACTATTATATTAAAGAATTTGTTTATGCAGAAAAAAAGATTTACACAATACCACAGAAGACAATGTTTGAGTGTTCTTTACATACAAATTCCATGGTATAGAGATCTGAGTGGCCCAATGGTCTAAAGCGCGCATCGTTAAGGATCACTGCTATCTCACCTTTGTATACGTTTGTTCGAGTCTCAGGCTCGGTTAACGTGTGCATGTGAGAAAGCTTGCCAGTAGCTTCTCGTGGGTCGGTGATTCTTCCTGGCGTTTTCCAGGGTTCTTCCTCCACCAGTTATACTGGCCGCCATGTACAGCTTATCTTGTGCTTAAATTGGCGTTAAATACTACAAGAGGGGGAGAGAGTAAATTGATCGGAATATAAAACCAGTAACAGCTAGACAACCAACGCTTAACTCTATTTCGTTTCCATTATATGAGTTAAAGATCTATTTACTAACTGTAAAAAAATGTCCTTCTTACCTTCAAGCTTAATCTGACTCAAACACAAAATGCAACTTCATTTTTGCGAAACCAAACAAAAGCACAAAGAAGCAAAACAAAGCACAAACTAATTCATATCAATCATGATGGTAGGTTTCACACCATAACATTAAATATATATATATATATATATATATATATATATATATATATATATATATATATATATATATATATATATATATATAAAGTTTATACAATAGTATAACACGGATTTTATACACAGCATTTCCTCATTATATCAAATTAATTCGAATATGCACGAACTATTGGGAACGCCATGATCGTCTGTAGAAAGTGATATGAAATGTTAAGATTTCAAATTGATCTGCTGTGCTAAATATTTTAAGTAGAATACACAGCATATGGGTTATAATTATCAAGTAGAAGGAATTTTATTATCTATCTCTATCAATTCAATAATAATAAAATTAAACAGGTGATGAGTCAGGTGTCAGCTCTACCTGTCCGACCAATTCTAGCTAATAACTTAAGTCACTGTGCCAAAAGTACTGCAACAAGAAGCAACTTTTCCTCAATGGTAGCTACAGCTAGTCTCAAACA